CGCCAGAGGCTCCCCCCTGCACCCAAACTCCCTCCCAGAAAGACACTAACCTAGCAGCTGTTGTAAGAGTGGGCGGTGGCTGTTTTGAATTAACTGGGTTCTACGTGTTTACGACTGAGAGGTGGGCCCGGAAGCGCTTTGAAAGGCAAGTGGAGTCTAGCACAACATCGGCCATCGGTCGCTAGTCAGTACTAAGTGTCGCTGGCGCCTTCGTCAGGGAAACGAGGCTTGGCCGGTCAGCCTATTCCAGTACAGCAGGATGTGAGGCACCTCCGAGGTGGGCGCTCACCATCCCTCCCTGCCCTGGGGATGGGACGTTGGGCTCTTCCAACACGTGTGCAGGGGCAGGAGTGACCCAGCTGGGAGGCTGGGCTAATCCAGGGCACCTGTCGGTGGTGTAAAGGGCCTAGGCCAATGGGTCTCAAAGTGTGGTCTGCGGCCATCTTCCAGGTGGGCTGCGGGCTCGGGACTCGTCCCCCCCTTGTGCTGACGCTGCAGCCCCTTGCGCGAGGCTGGAGCACCAGCTGCCTCTGGCCCCAGAACGTGCTGGTCTCGGGCGTTTCCCAGAATGCCCTGCATCCAGGTGCTAAGACGGCCGCTAGCTCCGTGGAGAGCCACCGAATAAAGCTGTTTGCTTCTTTTCCGTACAACATGGCGCCCGAGGGCTTTTCTTCCTGCTGCGGGGGGAAGGGAGGAGCCAAACGGGCCAGATCCGTCTTGTGGAGGAAGGAAGCGGCTCCGCACACGGCCACTCCCCCTCCCCCGGCTGGAGGAACGGCAGCACAGGAAACAGCTCACCTGGAGGCTTTCCCTGCTGCTCCCATTGGCCGGAATCGCAGCCAATGGGAGCAGTGGGGATAGTGCCTGGGAGCAGTGAGAGGCACAGAACCATGTAAGTGCCCCCATCTCCTTCGTGCCCAGACCCCTCCCACACACCCCTCCCACTAAGACCTGCTCCTGCACCCTTCCTCCCACCCAAACTCACACAGTCACCCCCTTCTGCACCCCACCTCCTACCCAGCTCCTGCACCCCCATCCCTATCCCACTCATTGGCAACCCTGTCCTGCACACTGAGCCCCTCATTTTTAGCCTCACATCAGAGCCTTGGTGGTCCACAAATCCACAAACCCCAGAATCTTTTATTTGGCCTATGGGAAACTCTGCATCTCAGTCCTCCGTGCTCTCCTGCACCCATTTTGTCAGCATGGGTGGTTGGCTGGTGGTCCGCAGAAAGCTCTGCATTGGGTGGGGGGGGCCACAGGCCAAAAAGTTTGAGAACCACTGGGCTAGAGAGAGCCCCGGTCTGTGCCAGCTGAACCACTGCTCTGCTCTGGTATGGCAAATGCTTCCTGTCTGAGTGAAGAAAGGGGTGAGGGGCTTTTAGCTCTGTGGACAGAATAATGGAGACGCACCATGGGACCAGGTTCACTTGCCTCTTCCTCTCCTCGGCAGGCCTGCGCCCCCCTCTGGTCCCAGGAATGTGGCACCTCCCTGTTCAGCACGGGCATCTGCACCCAGGTGGATGGCAGCTTCCAGCCGACCGGCACCATCGCCCCCACGGCCCAGAGTAGGTGGCGCGCCGGCTGCGGGGCGTGCGTAGAAATGGAGTCGGTCCGGACAGGGAGCCGTCTGGCTCTGCGAGTGTTTTGCTCCCAGTATTTGTGTGCGGCAGGGTGGGATAAATCTCACCCCGAGCGTGAGTCTTGGTGCGGTGTCAGGACGGCTGCTGTCTGGCTCAGGACTTGGCTGCATTGCGGGGGCTCTCGGGCGTGTGAGCAATGCAGCCTGCTGGCTTTTCCCCGCTTTTCTGTGGACTCTTGGACTCCGTATCGCAGCAGCTTTGGGAGCAGGGGAGCGGGAGTTGCTGGCCTCTTGGCTCTGCAAAGCCTGGCAGTGCAAGTGTAATCCTTCCGCCAGTTGGCGCAGCAGCTAGGGCCGAGTTCAATACCCAGGGGGGTCCTCTCCATCCACCCAGCACAGGACTGGCTGCAGCCCCCCAAGGCCTCTCGTGTCTTGCTCACAACACACCTGTCGCCTGAGCGTGGAAACATAATAGAGATGCAGCCGTGTTAGTCTGGTCTTGCTGAAACAAAAGACAGGACTATGCAGCACTTTAAAGACTAACAAGATGGTTTATTAGGTGATGAGCTTTTGTGGGCCAGACCCACTTCCTCAGATCAAATTGTGGAAGAAAATTGCCAGGGCCATATATACCAAAGGGATACAATCAAAAAAAGTGAACACATATGAAATTGACAAATCAGATTTTAGAAAAGAAACTTGTCATGAAAGCGAGGAAGTAACTCAGTATTAATTTGGGGAAATGGGAGTCACAAGCACAGACTGCAAACGGGAGTCACAAGCCTAAACCCTGAGTAAAAGGCCCATCCCAAGCAGGCTGGGCTATGTCCTTTTCTCCGCAGGTTCTTAACCCAGCGACCCAACAGTCCCTTTCTCGTGCCTGATCCTTCTCTGCACCCCATGCCCCATTGCTGCCCTTAGTGCAGATCCAGAGTTCAGAGGTGTATCTGCAGAATTGCCCCCCCACCCCGCCCCTCAGCAAGGTGGGGGTGAAAAGGCACCTTACTTTCTCCACTGCTTCTGCACTCGTGTGTTGCTCCTTTCTGGCTGCTCATTACACCCCACCAACCCTTCATTCGCCAGCTGTCAGTCACCTGCCTTTCTGCTGTGACCTCTGCACATCACTGTCGCAGTGGTTTTCTGCTCTTTGTCAGCTGGGCAGAACCACTGCCCCCTCTTGCACAATTTCCACTCTCAGGGCTTGTGTGCACTTGCTCGATTTTCCAGGGTTCGATTTGGCTTGTCTAAGAAGAACCCGCTAAATCACATCCACCTCCCACAGTGGTGGAGTTGGACTTTCACCCTAGTGTAGACCTGGCCTCCGTGATTTTCACCTTTTACAGGCAGGGCAGAAACACAGGTTGTGTCTACACTACAAAGAAAAGTCGGAAAAAGATACGCAAATCGCAAACCGCCATTTGCGTTTCTTTTTCCGCTTTTCTTGCAGAAGAGGCTTTTCTGAAGTTTGGCCCAACTACCCGGTGCCAAATTTCAGAAAAACCTCCTTTTTCAGCACATCTCCCCTTCCTCGCACAACAAAGTTTACAGGGACGGCAAAAGAATGTGTCTGCTTTTCCAATTATTCCACACTGCTTGGATGCAGCATAGCTTTTCTGGGATACCAGAGCTGCAGTGTAGACACATAGCCACAGTCTTACCCTAACTGATTCTAGCTCTGGTTGAGCATAACAAAAAAGCATCACCTATTAAACCATCTTGTTAGTGTTTACAGTGCTACAGAGTTTTTCCTTTTGTTTTAGCTTGAACGGGGTGGACAGGTTAACTCAGTCCAGGGAAGACCCTTAAAAAGGCTTTGCAGTCTGCTAGCTGAGATGTCTTTGCCTCCCCCCACCCCTTTCCCCCCTGGCTTAACAACATGGTTTCAATAGAGTCCCCCTCATTTGGGACACATTAAGCACAGTCCTGTTTCTCTGTATTCCCACAAGAATGACAACATCAATAACCATATTCCATCCAGATGCTAAGATAGCAGCTAGCTCTGTGGAGAGCCACTGAATAAAGCTGTTTGCTTCTTTTCCGTACAACATGGAGTCTGAGGGCTTTTCTTATGCACTGCTGCCCTCGGACTCCATGTTGTACGGAAAAGAAGCAAACAGCTTTATTTGGGGGTCTCACGCGGCCACATCCCGCTGTGTCTTCGGGGCCCTTTGTTTAGGTACCGGGGGTAGAAATTGGATCTGAGGGGGTCAACATTTGCTTTCACTCTTACACCCACTGTCCCCACAGAGTCACAAATAGTCTGCCAGAGCTGGGCACAAAAGCTTGGAGTCCTGGCTCCGGCTCATCCCCAGCACTGTGGCACCCTCCTGCCTGTTCTAACCACTACACCGCACTGCCCCTGTAAAAAAATATGCTAAAATTAGCTGCTCCCTGCTGCCAACAGCAGGACACTCCCGCTAGCCCCAGGTCTGTATAGTAAAGCCGCAAAGTCCACGGTGCCCGATCCCCCCGTCAGTGCCCATCTTGATGATCCACCTGCTGTGTGTGTGTGTTTGTGTTCCAGGATGTTCCACCTACATGGATATAGTGATCGTCCTGGATGGCTCCAACAGCATCTATCCCTGGTATGAGGTTCAGAATTTCCTCAGCAATATCCTGAGCAAGTTTTTCATCGACCCTAACCAGATCCAGGTGAGTGTGCCGGCCAGATTCAGTTTGGGACTCAATCCGGAGCAGCCATATTGCACGCACTGGAGTGACTCTGGATTGACACTAGGATGTCATAAATCTTGTCTACACTGGGAAGCCAGGATAACTGCAGGAGTGCAAGCCTCTGGCAAAGACATAACTAAGCATGGCAGAATTGGAGTTTTTAAATAATTTTGACTGCTAATGTTGATGTTTATTTTTTTAAGTTTTTTTTTTTTTAGATTTTTAATCATTTCATTTTTCACCATTGTGGAAATTTGAGGCAGTTACACAAGGACACGGTATCAGACAATAATTATGACCGATGTTGAGATTCAGCATGTTAAACTTTTGTAACCATTAAAACACAAAGGCTGTGTCTAGACTGACAAGTTTTTCCGCAAAATCAGCTGCTTTTGTGGAAAAACTTGCCAGCTGTCTACACTGGCCGCTTGAATTTCCGCAAAAGCACTGACTTCCTACTGTAAGAAATCAGTGCTTCTTGCGGAAATACTATGCTGTTCCCGTTTGGGCAAAAGCCCTCTTGCGCAAATCATTTGCGCAAGAAGGCCAGTGTAGACAGCACAGTATTGTTTTGCGCAAAAAAGCCCCGATGGCTAAAATGGCGATCGGGACTTTTTTGCGCAAAAGCGCGTCAGATTGGCACGGACGCTTTTCCGCAAAAAATTATTTTGCGGAAAAGTGTCCGTGCTAATCTAGACTCTCTTTTCCGCAAATGCTTTTAACTGAAAACTTTTCCGTTAAAAGCATTTGCGGAAAATCATGCCAGTCTAGACATAGCCAAATTGTCAACGTCACATGTCGAAATAGACAAGGCCAATATCCCCAGATGGCGTGTTAAGTTCTCAAACAGCAGTTGCTGTGCTTTGGCCTAGCTGAGCACTTCAAGTCTGATCAATAGAAGTATTTTTTCGACTGTGTGTGTGTGTGTGTGTGTGTGTAAATCAATATTTCTCAACCTCTGCTTATAAAAATCCAGCTGAACACTTCGTCTGATCAATGGAAGTATTTTTTAGACTGTGTGTGTGTGTGTGTGTGTGTGTGTGTGTGTGTGTGTGCGCACTCCAGCCTGGTGGGATGGCAGCAGGGGAACTGGAGC